AAATCGGTGTACTTGAGACAGTTATAAATTATTGGAAAAATGTATTTAAAAATTTAAAGGTTTTGTATTTAGTATGTTTCTTTAAGAATACACATAGTATGCATATATATTATGTATATATTATAAAATATATACATGAACAATATAGTGAATATTGATGTGACAATTTAATCATCTAATCATGGAATTATAGTCACAGAAGAGATGCTGGCTCAGACAATATCACATGACATTACTTGTATTTATTTCATTGCCATTTTTATGATTCCTTAACAGACATGATATCAAATAAAACATAGGATTTAGACTACCTGAATTTTCTTTATTGCTTTTCAAAAAGTTTCTCTAATGATTAAAGGATAGTATATCTAATAAGATTTACTTGTATTTTTTGGTAATTTATAAAATAATTTGTGCTCTATTTACTAATGGTTATTCACAACATAAAACATTACTTTCAAATTAAACAAATAATGAAAATAGCTGATAATGGTTGTTTAATAAGTAGTGAGCTGAGTCATTTGGCATTGTTTTCCTACACTTAGTATACTGGTATTGTTGACTACAGCTGGCAAAATGTGTCCCTAGCACTCCGATGACCATTCTGGTAAATACTTACCACCCTAAGACAATCCTGAACTGTCCAGTCTTCCCTGCTGTGTCTTTCAAAGTAAACTTAGAAAAACTAAGGTTATGAAAACAAACCAGGATTCCACAGTGTCTCCCAAATCTTGGCAGCACTACCCTTTCCTTTACAAACTGCTGCCTTGGTCTGCTCTCTCATAATGACTTCATTCATGCTTTGGGGTAAAGAACTCTGGAAGGAAGTATAATTTCTTTGATCTAAGAGAATTCACATGGTTGTTCAAATGGGGATCCAAGTGATGAAAAATTAGTATGTCACTTGCATAGCTGTAATTTGGTAACTACATCTAAGTGACAACATCATCACATTTAATATTTTCATTTTACCTCACTATTAAAATCCTTGTGCTGTTTGCTGGCATCACTTAATAGTTCCAAATTATTTTTTGGTAAATCAGTAGACTTTAGGAAGTGATGATGAATATGATATCCCCACTAAAACCAGTAAAGGGCACTGCTTACAGAGGTATTTTTGGTGAAAATTAGGTAGTAATAGTTTTGTCTCAAAATTCTTAAGCTGCTTTTGAGCAAACTCAAGATTAGTTATGTTGGAATAGTTAGGAAAATGGACTTCGAAATTCAACAGCCTAAATTTGAATCCTAGATCTGTCCTCCATGCCCAGTATACTACTAACAATCCTATATATTAATTATGCAAAGTATCACAAATAACATACTACGCAGAAGATAGAATAGTTGAACATCACTTCCCAAAGGGAATTGTACAAGAAGACTTCCATAATAGAAAACAATGCATTCATATTTCCTATCCTTACCTCCAAATTTCATGTCTCAAAACAAATTCACAGTTCTACCAGGAGCCAATTTAAAGAAGCAAAATGTAAAAATAAAGAAAAACCAAAGCGTGCAGTCACTCACACCACCTGCTTATATGAAGAGGAGGTTTGCATTTCATGTGGATGACTTATTCTAGCTGAAAGCAGAAATTCTGATTTGATTTACACATGTTCTCTTGGCTTTTTCTCCTAGAAATTTGAATTCTACTGTACAGTGGATTTTTTTCCAACTAATATTTAGCACTATAATGAAAATAAATATTAAGAATGAATAAAATTTAGTAATGAAACATAGATAAAGAGCAAGAATTCACACAGCGTTCTAAAAACAGCTTTCCTCTCTTGTTAGAGTTCTGTTGAAGACCTCTCCATGCCATTGTATGTATTTGATTTCTGACAGGCATGCACATGCCAAGGTTCATGTATGCAGTTCAACCTTTACCTTCCTTCCACCTTATGTGAGATAGGATCTCAGTGTTTGCTACTGTGAACTCTATTCTGGCTGCCCTCAAGTTCTAGGGATCTCCCTGTGTCTGCCTCCCTTGTCACCATAGCAGCACAGGGATAACAGATGTGTGCTGCCACACCCAGCTTTATTTAAGTTCTAGGGATCCAAATTTAGGTCCTCACATTTGCATGGCAAGCACTTTACCCACTAAGCATTTCCCAGCCCAGTAATTAGAATATTTAGCAACTATTTGATGAATGCTAGTTGCCTCTGCTTTAAAAATATAGATCTTTAAATTTAAAATCATTTGCTCTAAATCATAGCTATGAACCTGAGGTCTTGGGAACTAGATATGTAAGGTTCACAGTGTTGTTGAAGTAAAAGAATTCATTTTCCTGTGGCCTATACTCTCATTCTTCCCTCCCACTATGCCTGTGGGGAGGAGCTGTGTTTGAATTGAACCACTGACGGCCTTAGACATGCAGCCCAGAGCCCACACATATTTTATCTCCAAGAAATAGAGATTCGAATAAATCACTTAAGAAATGGAAAAAAAAAGGGGGGGCGCAAAAGAACAAAAACGTCACAGTTTGTCATCTAGTGGTAACTCAGTAAAAATACAGATCTATGATTTCCACAGCATGAAAAAGCAATAAAGTTGACAAAATGCATGACTTCTAACAGCACATGTGCTTGGCCAATCTTGCCACTTAAGGACTTCATTTCTTTGACATACACATTGTGGTCTACTGATGCTGAAAGGTGGTATAGCTGATTAGGTCCTTAATATGCAGAGTTTCCTGTTATAAGAAATAATATAGCTTGAAAAAAGCAATTAATATTCAACCACATAGATATAATTTAAATGTTCTCCACAAAGAAATTATAAAGGAGGAGATATACGTGTTTATCCTTATTTGAGTATCACACAATGCAACTGTGTATCCAAGTATTGCATGACCCAAGCATGGGCAATTTTTATGAATTAATTACAAATTTTTAAATTAAATAAAATTTTACTTTTTAAAAAGAATTCAGCCATATGTATCATTAATATGGTGCTAACAATAAAAAAGTTTTCTCACATATATCTCAACTCTATATTTTAAATCCTTAAAATTACTGTAGTATATTGGCTGAAGGTGATGATTCTGCTTGAAAACAAGCAGTGTTACTGCCCTATCAAAAAATTCAGTCAATGTCAAATGCTTCATTGTTATTAATTATTCATATTCCATTCTATTTAAAACTTCATGCTACATCTACCTCAATGGCTGCCAAAGAGGACTTTCTGTTAGCCTATAAAACAAAATTTTCTCCTTTTTCCCCCATCTATTAAAAGAATTGAGAATTCCCAAACACTATATATAACATTCCTAGCTTGGGAATTTAGTAGAACCTTGTTCAGAATTCTTATTTGTTGATCTGTGGTTTTATTTTCTCTGCAGAATATCTAATGTGTTGTTTTTCTACTTTATGATAAAGAGCTATCATTGTTGGAACTCATGCTTAAGTTAAAAAGTTAGAAACACAGTAGTGGTTTCACTTTCTGCTAGGACCCTCCACTTTGGAGCCCCTGGGCTTTGAGTGAGAGACACATTATTGCCAGTTTACTCTCCAGACTTTCTCTAGTAAAGGCCAATGATCATCACTGGCCTCCTCAACAATCAATAGTCATTTTAAAGCAATAAAAGTAAAACACCTACAATTTTCTTTTTGAGTAAGAAAATAATCTGAAAGAAAAAAGAAGAAAAGTAAGGGTGAATTGTTATCAGTAGAAGTGCATTTGACCCAGCCTGAGGGTCTTTTCTGAGGCTGCAGCATGTGCTACCTCTGTACCAGCAATATGTGTCACACATAACTAGAGGGTAGAGAAGTTACCAAAAAAAAAAGTCACTGGAAAAAAAAAAAAAAAACTTTTCTACAGTTATTAAACTATATTTACATGTTTTACTGGGAATTATATTGAATAAGATAAGTGAGAACCCCTGTATTCATTGTGCAAATGCATTTACACTTGCACACTTTTGAGTATATTCTAGAAAGCATTCAGCAAAAGAAGTTCAACACCAAAAGCTCCAAGCATCCCAGTGAAAAAGTATGTGCCAGGAAATGTGAACAGAGCAGAAGCAGACGAGTCCCCTGTACTCACCGTGGTGGTAGTGGTGACCTCCTCAGTTACCACCTTCAGGGTGTCAACCACGGAGATGTAGCCCAGCCGCTTAGCAATTGCCAGGGCTGTGTTACCATTCTGAAGAGAGTGAACAAGGGAAAGAGTAAGAAAGGAGAGGGAGGACTGCCTTGTGAGCCAATGAAATCACCCGGGGCTCAGCAGGAGCCAGCATTTCCTTCCAAAACAAGGCACAGCTTAGGAAAATCACTAGTTTTTACCATTACATCTAAATCTGTCTTTGTAACTCCTTTACACTATAGCCCAGGTCACCATGGTAACACAACAAACTTGTATCTGCCTGCTCCTTTTATTAAGCACTCGATGCTTTAACCCTGAAGTTCTTCAAATGCTGCCATAGACTCAGGGAGATACGTCTTCATCTGAGGACGAGGCCGCCAGACTGCGAGGGAGGAGCGGGACCCTCATCCCTTCTACAAGTTAGGTGTTACCTTAGGAACACAGGGACAGATTATGCTTCAGCTTCCCAGTAGCTCACAGGGCTGCAAAACCACCGAAGCCAGCAATTCCAGCTGTATCCAGCCCGGGTCCCCAGGACCCCTTTTGTTTAACTGTACCACTTAGTTTACATTTCAATGGCTTCACATCCCCAAGAGCTAGGTCTAAGCCAGGAGCTCAGAAACTGCTCCCTAAGGCAGCAAGGAGAAAGCAGTGGCTGTGCACTCACATCTGAGCGCCAGCTGTAGGCGAAGCCCTTCCTGCAGCCCCGGCAAAGGGCGCCACTCCCCAGAGGCCAACCTAGTCCAGTCAACTGAGGTTCTTCCCAGCAAGCACAGTCCATAAAGTATTTTCTCGAAAGGATTTTCTTGAAATTTGGGGCTTTTCACAGTCCAGAAGTTTATTTAAGGAGGATGTATCACTACTTATCTCTAACAACAAGACATCAGGGCAAAAGAGGAGGAAGATCAAAATATGGGGACTAGCCATAGGAGTTGCTTACTGCGGTGGTGGCGTTTGGCTTGGCCCCATGCTGGAGCAGGACATTAATGATGTGCGTGTGGCCTTGCTGGGCAGCTTGGTGCAAAGGTGTGTAGCCATTCTGTGGAAAGCGGTGGCACCGATTTGCCGAGGGAGAAGAACATTAGGTTAGCCTTCAGTTTTAGTTTGCTAGTCTTATTTACAACAAAAACATCAAGGACTCCTTGTTTATTTGGAGCCCAATTTTCCCAGCAACCCATTTCTCAGCAGCAAACACTCCCTCACACCTTATGGTGTGCTAACAAGAACAAAATGGCTTATGAAATACAAGATAAACAACCTCCAAATTATAACTATTATTACATTTAAACCAATTGGCATTAAAAATACATAGAGGAGATATAAAATGGGAACAAGCATTATATCTGTGATTTCTTTCCTTAGCAAAGAATAAGAGCAAGTTGGTTTAAATTGAATGCTAGAGAGGAAGCCATGGTTCATTATGACCATCCTAACAACCCCTAGAGTTAGCTCTAGAGGTTTTATAATGAAGAAAGTGAATTTATGTCTTGAATTCACTTCAGGAGATAGCTTTAGGTATAGAAGACACATGTGTAAACTTTAGAATAGAAAATTCAATTGGAAGCCCAGGGTCCTGCCCCAATAAAACATCTCGTTAAAAACTAGAACTTTAACATTGTCAAGCTTAGTATGGGGTCAGTCTTGTACAGAACTATAGTGGTAGCAGATATGGTACAGGTTATTTATATACTTTTGTCTCTTCCACTCGTCATTAAAAAGGTCTGTGCATAGTAGGTGCTTTGTAACTAGTGTTGACTAAATGAGTGGTGAGCAAAGGCTTCATAAATCAGTGTTTTTCTCCTCATTTCAGAGATGATGAAACAGAAAATAACAGTTTACTAATTTCTCCACAATCATTCAAAGATCAGCTCCTGTGTAAGATCTTGGCAACCAGTGAAGTGAAGTGCCAAGTATAGTCACAGTGGCTCTTCTGTGAATGAGAATGCCCTGATGCATGGGTGTCCTTCTGTCTAGGTGTTAACTCTGGCACATTCTTGGGAGTCTGACCTGTTATATATACCTACATTTTTTTTTTGCTTTTTATTTTTAATCTTATGTGTACTAGTCTATTATGCACATATATCCAATTGTACCCATGTCATGTAATGCCCACAGAAGACAGAAGAGGGTGTCAAATTCCCTGGAACTGGAGTTATGGACAGTTGCTAGCTGGAACTGGAGTTATGGACGGTTGCTAGCTGCCATGTGGGTGCTGGGATTCGAACCCTGGTCTTCTGCAAGAATAGCCAGTGCTCTTAATCTCTGAGCCATCTCTCCAGCCCCCAAAATACAGATCATTTACAGAGTTAGAAACCTATAGCCATGGAAGAGACCCTGGCCTCAAATCAGGTAATCCATGGACATTTGAGAAGTGATATTTCATCTCCACAAAGTTCTTCCTTTGCATTATTACGTTCTGCCATTCAAATTTAGTCACTTTTTCAGCATCACCTGTTAGTTCATTGACAAATATAATTAACAATGTGCTAAATAATTTTGCATTAAACAACATTCTGTATGCTGAACATGTTTTCTATATTACATATATGTTATATTTTAAATTACATAGTAATATAATTTAAGGATAGATTATCTATAACTATAGAAATAATACTAAATATGAATTAGTTATGGTGAAGTAACACTCTCACTAGGCCATACTGTATGGAGTCCTCAGAGACCACTGTGGTCAGGAAAATGTCCCCTAGGCATCGTTCAATCTAGTTTTTGTCTGAAGCTGTGGTGACTGAAAATATTTACTTGAAATCTTAGAAACCCCCAAAAAACCTTTAATGAACACTGTCTTAGTGACACTCAGACCCATCTGCATGGCAGCTCTAGGCCTGGTTCTTCTATTGACCATCAGCAAACCTCTAAATCTCTTAAGTCTCTATTTTTCTCATTTGTAATACAGAAATGGATGAAAGTTCAAGCTTCAAGAAAGATGAAATAAATTTTCCAGAAAGATTTTTTAAATAATAATTTATTTTTATTTTATGTACATGAGTGTTTTGCCTGCATGTATTCTAATGCCCATGTGCAATGCCCAAGGATGACAGAAGAGGGTGCTAGATCACATGGGACTGCAGTTAAGAGTGGTTGTTAGTGCTAAATGGGAGCTGGGAACTGAACCCTGGTTTGCTGCAAGAGCAGCCAGTGCTCTTAACTGATGACCATCTCTCCAGCTCCCATGAAGATATTTTTAGCTTAGAAAAACTATACAAAAATGCTCAGGAACTGTTCTGTTTCCTCACTGAAGAATTCTGTTATCTTTGCAGTGTGTCTTATAAAGAGACTTTCCACTTAATGCTATAGTTTAAACCCTTTCCACAAGTTAATTATCAATAAGTATGCATTGTTTCAATCCAGTGTGACAGGGTCTCATTCTAAATCTAAGCAACTAATAATTCTGCTTAAAAAAGTTTAGTTTTCCAAATTTTCATGCCAAGTTAAGACAGTACATATGTTTGTATTTTAAAAGCAATGAAACAATTCTTTAGTAACTATAGTTACACATAAATCATTAGGAATAAAATATAATTCCTCTGAAAAGGTATCATACCATGTGGAAAAATTCTGAAGGATTCGTTAAAATGTGACTCCAGAGGTAATAATAAAAATTATATAGCTCACATTTACAAAGAACTAAAATGTTAAAATGAGATTTTTCTCTTAATTAAATGTCTATTTGATAAAGACTTAATCTGCAGAGGTCATTGATATTGTCCACACAGCATTGTGCTTGGCTTCTAAATATTAAAACCATCTCAATGACCAAGCATCTAAAATGAAATGGTAAACATTGCTAAGCACTGCCAATCTCTTACTGTATATTGCATTCATACATTTTAGTCTTTCCTGAACTTCACATTGAGCTGGCTCAGCAAAACTGGTGCTGGGAACTAAAGTCTGAGGAGTCCTATGAAAGCTCTTCAATAAGCGTCAGTTGAACACTTCATGAAATTGCAACAACTGGTCAGAAACTACACAGCAGCCATCCTTGGTAGGGAAAAATTTGAACCTCAGATGTTACAGTATTATTCAAGGTATACATAATAAGTTTATTTTAGATTCAGTTTATGACTGTGCTTATGTATAGAAAGGATTTAGTTTCTGACAAAAAGAAACTCTGATTTATAAAACTGGAATAAATTTCTAATTAATAGCATCTTAAAATGGTGCATTTGAAGACTTCTGAATGTGCTCACATTGATGTACTTTATTCCACTCATGGCTGCAGTTAGGATTTCCTGATGAGTGAACTCAAGCACATCACACCAATATTTCTTTGGGTCAGACACCTGGAGTTACAGTTACAACCTACAGTAAGAGCAACAGTTATGCTGTACATTTCTCTTGAACTTGAACCAATTTGTGTGCACTGAGATGTGGGGTGACATTCTGACCTTGTTTTGTTCAAGTAGACACCTTACCACTTCAAAAAACTGTTGGGAGCAAGTCAGCCCAGGTCTTTCATATTTTTGTCACTGAGCATTACTACCACATGATGTTCCTGAAGAGACAATTTGTTTAAAATGAAATATATACAGTTGAGACTGCAGGTCTGTATTTCCATGTGAGGAGATGAGGGATGTGGGGAAGAGCCAAGGCCCTAAAACAAAGTAAAGGAGACCTGGCAGAGCATCAGTATGCTCTACACTATCCTGCAGTCAATTATTAAGTCAAAGTCAGCTATTTTAACTTTATAGTAGAAGTTCTGAAGCTGACCTCCATGGTTCTCAAAGGTTATCAGAACACAATTAGAAAACTATACTGCTTCTTCAAAATTACTCTGGAAGAACTAAGATGTAAAAATAAAATTTTTAAAAATTTATAAAACAATTTATTGCTATAGTAAAGTGTACTGATCACTCCAATGGCTAAAAGGTTTTGCATGTCAAGAAGGAAAGCAGGTTTGTAATTTACCTTGGTTTTTGCATTAACATTTGCTCCCTGTTTCAGAAGAAAGTTGACTATTTTTACATTTCCATAGTGACAGGCCACAATTAAAGGAGTGTAACCAAGCTGCGAATGACAAATCACAAAGTATTAGTGTTATTATACTTCTAGTTGTTAATATTAAGAAAAAGAGAGACTGGGTAAAATTTCAGTTGTCGTGGGATAGGAAGGAATCCAATTTGATTGTGTAAATACTACTTAGCACGTTTCATATCAGTTGCATGCAAATATGGATATAAGCAGGTCCCTAGCCATAGCAGGGAGGGAGAGCAGATACATGTGCGACTTGACTTAGTGAAAAGAAATGAGAAGCCCAAATGATATCTGTAAATGGGAGATGACTCTGGTAGAAGAATTAGGAGCCCATCAATGTTTCACTATGGATGAGGGAGGGCTCACAGGCTCCACCCCTTCCAGAGGGACTATTTGGGGAAGGGTGTCACTTTCTTCAATGGTGTAACCACAGTTGCCCTTGCTCCCATGAACAACTTCCTACCTACCGTTCAGGCAAGTAACTAATTGAACTCAGTGGGTGGGTCACACAGAAAAAAAGATGAAAGTAGAAGGAGGGCTTGTTGGGAAGAAGGTGCTAGTTGGTGAGGGAGGGGAGTGAGGAAGGGGATGAGGGGGTAAAATGACTAAAATATATTATACAAATGTATTGAACTGTTGAAAGCAAAAAAGGGAATTTTTTAAATTCAAAACAAAAGGGATAAAAGCCTGTAAAGACTAATAGGAGACTGAAAACTTAATTGTTCTTTAGCGAACATTAAAATGACAGCAACAAAAGAACAATGGCATAGAAGGGACCATGCCACCTTGAGACCAAGGGCATGGAGGGGCAGCAACTGGAGGAGAACACCAAGTCAAAACTGGAGTCCTAAGAAGCATCCTGATGCCATTGCCTCCCCTTGTATCTGATTCCTACAGAATCAAAGAATCACTATAGATCTGGGAGTAAGACAAAATTTATGCTTTAGAATGGACTTTGAGAAGAGAGGCCTCGGACATATGCTGCCCTGAATGAGGCCTACCAAGAATCAGCCAAGTCAGAAGTGGTTGCAGTGTTACCAAGGGCTCTGTTGTACCTTTGTATGAGCATCCTGGTCAGCCCCATGCTTGCTGAGAATATCTGCGACATTTACTTTATCTTCTTGAGCTGCAAGGTGTAAGGATGTGAGGCCACTCTGTAGAGAGAATGAAAGCCAAGAAATACATCTGAAGAGGAAAATGCACTGTCACTTATAGTATCATGCCTTGAAAACATCTGGAGAACAAATAGCCTCTCTCCAGACAGTGCATCTTTTAGTATTTAAGACAAATTTTTATAGTAAGAATTTTTTTATAGTAAGTTGTCTTTTCATCCAAGATTTATTCCTTGAGTTAAACAATACCTTCAGCAAATTATATTTTCTATTTTCTATATTTGGTATTTATAATGTGAGTCCTTAAAATAATTCAACTAATAAGCTTACAAATAATAATCACTTCAAATCCACCCGCAACTCCTGATGAATCTTATTTACTTAAATAATGGACCAATCAAACATTACTGTAACTTTATAACCTTATCAATAGCCAATATTTTCATTAATAAAGTATCACATCAGTGTTTTAAAAAGTATCATATCAATGTTTAAAAATAGATTAAGTTATATGAAATAAGCTCAGAATATTTTTTTCCAGCACTCAGTTGACGTTTGTTGAATGGAAGTATCTTCTAGATGCATCTAGATGACCCCATGTACCACCATAAACATTCAAATTTTATAAAAATGTTTATCATATGAGTATCTAATAATTATTGCATTGATTTGAATACACAGTTAAACTATAGTTAAGAATTAATTTTTAAAAATACCAAGAAACGGAGAAGGGAGAGTGGTTTAATAAAGCCACACTCAGGAGCTTCACTATACACAACTAGCATCCATCACACAAAATTGAGATTTAAGAGTATCATATAAAATTTGCTGGGCTTAGCTGTGCACACCTTTAATCCCCGCACTTGTGAGGCCAAGGCAGGCGGATCTCTGTGAGGTCAAGGCCAGCCTGGTCTACATAACAAGTTCCAGGCAAGCTGGGGCTACAGGGAGACCCTGTGTCTAAAAGAACAACAACAACAAAAAGAATATCATATAAAATTTATCATGTAATTTTGAGTATTTTTCTTATACCAGGAAGTTCTCACTTAGACATGGAACATGAACAAAGTTCCTGTTTCTGCAGCATCTGTACTCTAGCTTAGAGTATACCCACACCATGTATTTCTGTCCTCCAACTACTGCTCTAACATCTATATTCATCCTCTTCTAGTATGTCAGGGGGATACTGGTGATTGAGTCTAGGGTCTCATGCATATCACACAAATGCTTTACCATTGAGTCACACTCCCAGCATTCTTCTTACTGTCATTTTAAGTCAAGGTTTCAGTAAGTTGTCCAGACTAGGTCTGGAACCACTTTATAGCCTAGGAAAGCTTTGAGCTTATGATACTCCTGCCTAAGCCTCTTAGTAGCTGGGAATACAGGCCTTGTGCCATCAAACCTGGTAATTTTGGAATTGAAAATAGTGGTAGCTACATTACTCAAAGGCAGCGGGCTTCCCAGTTAAAACTGGCCAGCACTGCTGACCATGGCTGGAAGGCTTATCCTCCTGCATTAGCATTGAGGCTGAGATAACTAAGTCATGCTCTTCCAACTCATGACTCCCCACATAGTGCTACTTGTAGAAATCAGCAAATGCTCTGACCCTTGAAAACATAACCTACAACTACAGAAAAAGCAGTCAATGACTTTGGAAGGGGCCTTTTACTTGAAGGTCTGGTATTCTTTAATCCTTAAGATAGCTGAGCTCTGCTTTGAGTTTCATAAAACTTCAGCCTGAGATAAAAATGATCTTTTTTTTCATTAACATTCTGTCAGTTCTAAACTAGTATTATTTAATCCTAAAGTATAAAATATCTGAATATTAAGAAAAAGCAGAGGATTCTTAAAATCTGAATGTTAGAAAAGAGGAGATTCTTCCTCGGATATTGATTTTATCCATCCTAAAACAACAAACATTATTTATCTTTAAAGAGGCAACTTGTTTAGATGGGGAGCTTCTTAGAGAGGTGGTAGAATGCAGTGATATGCAGGGGAAAAGTGGAACCTTAGACTAAGAAGGATGAAATGGGGTAGGGAATGAGAGGACAGGGCAGAGGAGGGAACATAGGGATAAGTGACAGTAAAGGCCTTTAGAAAAAAATCATATGGAAACCAACCACTACAGAGCTTCTTAAAGTATATACATATGCAACATGAAAAGAAATTAAAAGGAGGCATTCTATAACAAGGGGATATTGCCCTTTCTAGACATCATAGGCTAATGGAAAAACAAAACAAAACCCAATGCCAGGAATGACCATGGGTCCCATAGACCCTCAGACAATACTGGCCATTTCTTCTGCACTTGGTTACCTACCAGAACTAGATGGTAAGACCCTATTGCTGAAGACAACACATAAATGAGCTGCAGAACAATCAAGGAGAAATCAAGCTGTTGTTAACTTCAGAAACTCATCTGTACTGGCTAGTGTTCATGGTGCTAGAAGGTACTACACATGCTACCAAAAGGAAAAAATAATGATCAACATTACTGGTGTGAATCCTGTGAACTACAACAACTGGCCTGGGAAGATATGCCCACTGGTCCAATAGTGGCACAAATATTATGGGTGTAACCAACTGCTCTTTAAGTGGATTAATCTAATTGCTTCCTGGGATGGAGCCCATATTTGATACTGATATCAGGCTTAGGAACCTGAGGCTAGACAGGTCACACGACAACAAAAAATCCTAACATGAGTTTTCTACTAAATAGGTAGCATATTAAACCGACTCTTAATGACTTACTGTTATACTTGCTATACTCATAGATTAATGCATCTCTCAACTCTCACCATAGGAGTTTCCTTATGCAACAGATGGTGATTAACAAAGAAACCAACTACTGGCCAATGTGCAGAGAACAAGAGACTATAGAGTGTTTATCCCTGAATAGGACATCTACATCAAACCTCTGCCTCCCAAGGCTCAGGAATCATTGCAGAAGAGGGAGCAGAAAGATTGTAAGAGCCAGAAGTGGTGGGTGACCACAAGGAAAAAGAATTTTCCAGACAACAATGAACTCACAGAGATGGTGACAGCATACACAAGTCCCATGCAAGCTCAAATTAGAAAGATATCCTAGCATAGACATGAGGGAATAGGTAAGAAGCCCCAACCCCACCTAAGGAAATCGTGGCAACAGATGTCTGCTGGGAGGGGCAGAGATAGTCTCTTTCAAGTGTGGAACTCTTGGTAGGTTAACCAGGCTCCAGTGGATGAATCTACACTGAAGGACATTTGGGGACACCAATTAGACTCTCTACATTAAATTGGGTGGAGGGTACTACGGGGAGATGAGGGTTATATTGTATGGAAACTGCAAAAACTCAATTAAAAATCATCGAAAAATAAAAATAAAGAGGTAGTTTATTCATCATGTTATTGGTCATTAAATGAAAGCCTGATCAGAGTGCTCACAAACATTTTCATGGTATGTAAAATAAAAGATGTGCCATTTTTTACTCAATTTACAGAGTGTATTTTCTATAACAAAAGATTAAGAACTAACAGATGCTATAGTTTGCTATACTCCATAGACTGTGCTATACTCTGCAGTTTGAAGTCATGATAAACTTGCATATCCAAGCACATCACATAAATTTTCCCAATATATCAGGAAAACAAATAATACTGAAGGGGTTCCTTTTAAAACAGTGAGATTTCCTATGGAAATGGATAGCAGGCCCCAATCGCAGTTGAAGGCTTATTGGCAGCTGATTACTGCTAGGTGAGGAAGAGCTGATCTTCTTAAAGATATCTTCTACATAGATCTTCTAGATAGGCTGACTAGACCTCAATGGATGAACTTGCAGTGAGGGACATCTGGGGACACTAACTTGACAGGCCTTAACACAAATGACAGAATGTATGAAATCCAGTGTGTGTGGGGGCCATGGGCAGGTGCAAATGGGGGAGGGGTATAAAGATGATTAAGATGTTCTGTATGAAATATTACAAAAATTAAATAAATAAATTAAAAAACAGATTTCTTAACATATATTGGTTGACATTACAACTGTTTTTCTTTTATTATATATGGGGATTGGACAAAGAAAATAGTCTCATTTCTGTTATAGTTCTTACTGAAAAATAATCATTTGGAGACTATGAAATTATTGATTTTAGTTGGTCTCAAATAGAAAAAGAATATGTACTTTTCCAAAGTAATGAGAACATTTATTATTGACTTGCTTCTTACCTGAGGTATTTTTGTGCTTGCATTGTCTTATTATAATACCAATCTTTAAACAAGATTACACTTTTGTTTGTGCTTCCTTGCTGCAGTGTATCACTGTGTAGCCCAAGCCTAAGCTGACCTCAAAGTCAAGATACTCCTGCCTCAGGCTCTCAAGACTCACAGGGGTGAGTTGCATTGCCCAATTACAGTTATACCTTTTTTATTTTTTATTTATTTTTTTGTCTTTTTGAGACAGGATCTCCCTGTAGCCCCAGCTGTCATGGAACTCACTATGTAGACCTGGCTGGCCTTGAACTCGCGGAGATTCACCTGTCTCTGCCTCCCAAGTGCTGGGACTACAGGCATGCGCCACCACGCCCGGCCTCCAGTTATACATTTTAAAGAGAGATTTTATGTATTACTTTATCATTCAGCTATATCTGAAAATATTCATAAAAGCTTTATTCTAGTGGCAAATATATCATGCCTTTGGAACATAGGACTCCGCCCAAATTTAATGCTAATATAATTATTGTAAAGGGAATTATCATTTTCTGGAAAAAAAAGAGTGTTGTTCTCCATTGCTGAGTGTGCAGCTCAGAAATGCTCCCTAAATATTTGTTGACTGGCTGCTTGAATTCTTTGAAAGTAATATGTTGAAAAGGATATCATCAAGGAGGGCACAGAAAACTGATTCTATTAATTTTTTTAATTAATTAATTTATTTAATTTATTTATTTTATGTGTATGTGTGTATTGCCTGCATGTAGGTAAGTCCACCCGTGTCATGCAATGTCCACAGAAGACAGAAGAGGCTGTCGGATCCCCTGGGACTGGAGTTACAGACAGCTGTTAGCTG